GACAGTGTGGGAGGAGAGTGGGAGATGGCAGAGGGTAAGAGATAGGGAATCAAGGATGGGGGGGAAAAAAGCAAAACATACAGAAAACAATAAATGGAAGATTATTTGCTGACAATAACATGTTTGTTGATGTGCTTGATTGAGACAATACAGTGTACTCTGGATGGAAATCTCATTTTGTATGCTGTAATAATGTACAGTGAAAGAATGCAAATAGATAAATTGAAAAAAAAGAAAGAAAAATTAATAGGGAGTTGAAAAGTAGGTGATGAGGGGCCAGCAGGTGGCACGGTGGTTGGGGCGCTGGACTCCCGCATGGCCAACCGTGGTTTGACCTCACAATAAAGGTTAAATAAATGGAAGGAGGATCCAAGATAACTTGATGGTTTTTTGCTATTACTATAACATGAACAAGCAGTCTGCACATACCACAACCCCCGCCCCCAACAACACATACACACCAGTGTGCTTTCTACTACCATCCTCTTTTGCATGGCTTGAGACTATCATCTTGGGATGCTTTGTCAAGTGTGACCCAAGCTCACCAGCCAGTCAAGGGGAGACTTACGCTCGTCACTCGACGGTAGATCTGCGCAGCATTTTGGCACTCTGAGTATGGATATTCAGATGTAGCCATCTCAAGCATGCACATCCCAAAAGCATAGACATCCACAGATTCATCATATTTCTCTTCATACATCTCAGGTGCCATGAACTCTGGGGTACCTTAAATTAAGAGAATGATTCAGACTCAATTTACGCAGAAGCTTTACATGTTACTCACTGTGGGGGAGGGGGGAGGAAAAAAGAAAATCCTCTTAGTCTGTCCTATAAAATATCTTTAGATTTTCTACTGTAAGACCTTTATAAGGAACAGAGTGAGATTTATTTACTGTTTAAATGAATTCCTATTATACAACATGTTAAAATAGTCTTACAGTTAAGAGATAAACTAATGTGAGTCACTGTAAACAAATGCAAGGAAAAGATAACTGACTAGCAAGAGAGGAAGTTGGTAAAATGGTATGTACATATGAGATGAGGTAATGGACCAAAAAAGGGTACATAGTACTTGGCTGCCCCCTACTGTATGGTAGCTGTAAGGTAAACTAAATTTATACCTGGTCTCTTGCCATTAATACTCCACCTGCTCATTTTGACTTTTTAAGACTGAGGTGAAAAACCCAGCACATAATAAGTTTTTAAGAGTGATATAGTTTAACTGTCTACAAAGGCCACTCACCAGAACCCTTTTCTTCAGATACTTACCATCCCACCTAGAGTACACAAAAAAAACCTACTGCAGATATAAGAAATATAGTGAGGAACATACTACAGGTAAAAAAAATCAAACACATACACCAAAAAATACAGAACTCACAAACAGGATAATTTATGGGCACAGAGACTTTTACAAATGCTTCTAAAAAAGTAAGTCTGTATAGCTCAAATACAGGGCATTTCTAAGAATAGGTTTGCACACTAGGACTTAATAAACAAACAAAAAAGGGGGGGAGAAAACTCTCTTGGATTTTAAGATGTCAAAGACAATGAAAGAAATGCTTCCTGAGGAAGGCAAAAAGGAAATTCAGCTTTAAATAACTCTATTCCCATTCTTCTTGTTGATGTACTACATGAAAGTGTAAAAACAGCACTCCAAATCCTAGTTACATAATACTCCAAGATCACTATTTCTTAAGAAAATCACTGGTGTTATAGGCTTTTCCTATTTCTACTGAGGGTTCTAGCCCACTTAAATAATGCAACAGGCCTTTTGGCCCGTGAGTGACATATTGGATTGCAGGGAAAGTCATGACGCATTTTTGGAAAGAAAAATACATCATGATATTCCCAACAACCTAATAAACTGTTTGTGAAGATGTTAAGGTTTTTAAATTTTAATTCCCTTTCACAGAGTATGAGATAAGCAACATAGGCATTATTTTTCCAGCTGTGACTCTAATACATTGTTAAAAGTCTGAAGGGACAGCTCTAGCCTTTTTTCTTTTTCTTATTTATTTATATTTAATCATGTCTTTACAGTGTACAACATTTCTTTTTCCGGCACAAATACCATGCATGTCAGTCAAGACAAGGATACTACTATATCCGTTATCATCAGCAAATATGGACAGCTCTGTTCTTTACATCAGTAGTTCTTGGCAGGGGGTAACTTTGCCTTCCAGGAGACATATAGCAATGTCTGGAGATATTTTTGGTTGTAATAATTAAGGATAAGTGGATAGGAGGTATGCTACTGGCACCTAGTGGATAGAGGCCAGGTAAAGCTGCCTAACGAAATGTACAAGATAATCCCTTACAACAAAGCACTGTCCAGGCCAAATGTCAATAGTAGTGATGTTGAGAAGCCTTATTTAGTTCAGTATATCGTAACTTCTAAAGAGTAAGTTGATAAAATAGGCTTTTCAGAATGGCTTGTCACAGTTTTACATTTAAGAATGATTTTAATTAACTTTACTTATCTATTTTAATTAGATCAGAAGGGACAGAGTAAGAGTGAGAGCGAGAGACAGACAGACAGAGACAGAGTCAGAAAGTGAGAAAGCAAGCTGCCATGTCTGGGACTCAAACTGCAATCGGCTATGTGGGAGTCCAGGGCCCTTAACCACTATGCTACCTGCCGGCCCTCATTTTTACATTTTTAAATTAAGTTTTCACAAGAAGATAATTTTGAATATACATATATATTATCCAATGGGTATTTCAGAAAGTAAACTACATAAAAATTTCATTTCTTGGGAACCAGCAGTTAGCATAATGGCTATGTCACTGGACTCCCACGTAGTCGACCGCGGTTTGCGTCCCAGACCCGGTGGCTTAAAACTCACACCGGGCGCATGTGTGTGCGTGCCCAAGATCCCGAGAGGAGAATGGAAGA